TCTTTTAGCAGTAACGGAAACAAAAATTAATTACGATAATCTTGACTTCAATTCAAACATAACATATTACAATATTGAATATTTTCCTACACCTCTTTCTGCTGGACGTGTAGGAATGTATAGAAACAACAATATACAATACAAAGTCAATGAGATCTCCTTGGAATTGGTGACTCACTAACTCCAAGTCAATTGAATTACATTCATGAAGTGAAGCACGCCTCTTCTGCCTCAGCTGGGAATATCTTCAGAGGGAATTGACAGATTTTTTCAAAAAAGTCTCTTACCGTATATCTTCTGGTTTATGAGTAAATGTGAGTTGAGAGATCTCCTTGGAATTGGTGACTCACTTACTCCAAGTCAATTGAACTACATTCATGAAGTGAAGCACGCCTCTTCTGTCTCTTACTATCTTTGTATTTCGTAGCTTGAGAAATTTTTCCTATTTATATTATTTTTAATAATTTTAACGTGTCTGCCGTTTTTAGGTCGTAGAAGGTTTTCTACAAGGATTTCAAAAAGAAAATAAGATCGTATTTGATTATCTCTTCATTAGTTCAATTACATTCATACATTCATTTGTGCAATCATTAACTGAGTGGAACGAAATTGAGTCTGGAACTACAAGTATAATTTTTGACCAAAATAACAAGGCACAAATTTCAATTACCACTCTTTTACACCTATTAACAATCACAAAGTTGCAGTTCTTCAATTATTGTAAGAAATTAAATTCATTCATATTTTGGGATAAAAAGAAAAGGCTTAGTGGGGACAAAAGTTGTTAAACTTCCCTTCTTTGTCTCTCATTTTCCTGCAATTTGATTGGTTGCTTTAAACAAGCCTTGAAATCTGATTGGTTGTGTTAAGTTTCTCTCTGATTGACTAAGAAAAAGAAGCGATTTAGAGCTAGACTAGGTTGCACTGCTGAGAGCCAATCAGATTGCAAGGATCGTCAGAGACTTAAGAGTGAATGCACCAAAACTTCAATCAAATTTTCAGAGCTAAAATAAAGAGTCACATATGAGACAGAGTGTAGAGAAATGCTATTTCAATCTGAGGAGATAAAGGGACATATCATCATAACCCTAAAGAAAACCATAATATATGCTGATATCTTTGTGTGGGTAATCACATGATTTCGAGTGCAATTTGGAATAAATAAAGTGTAATTGTGCACTATGCTTTGCAGGAAAGCAATCCAAGGAGACGCTGGGAATTTCCTTAGGATTTTTACCAAGTAAAATAAAAAGAAATTAATATATCTAGTTGTGGCTTACAAATAGCACAACAAGAAAAGTCATAATTTGATAAGTGACTGCCATTGACTTTTTTCAAGCAGTGAAGGACTGAGGAGAGAAAGATATTTGTACCAAGGGGGTGAGCAACAGTCAAAACGAAGGAGAGGGGAGGGGTGGAGCAATAGGTATTATTGAAAACATAGCCAACCTGATAAGACACCTGCGCTGCAGGCTAAACTGAAACAGGTAAAATTTTCAATAAAGCTGTACATTATTAATAGTGTTTCCTCCTCTTTATTTAACATATAAGTCAGATATTTAAGTCTTCATCAGGATCATCTTCATCAAAGTCATCTGCTTCGTCAGGTTGGTAGAACACTTTTCCTTCACACACATGGTTTACTGTGACCTGGGAAGTTTCAGTTAAGATCGACCTTGGTGCTCATTATTTGTCAGCGTCCGATTGAATGTGAGATTTTTAGTTGGATCAACCTGAAATATTACATTCAATTGATGATAAAATAACAAAAAAAAAAAAAACCAGCTTCAAACTCACTATTTATATCTTACATCACGAACATATCATTTTCTTCAATAATTCAAAAATAATCTTGCGTGAGGCTCACCTCATTAACAGGTTCATTGACAGCTTTTGAAGAAGAACCATTCCAATCCTTTTCTTCGTATTCAGTCAGTACATGTTTCTCATTGATAGCAAAGCTTTCAAACTGTAACAACAACCAGATTTGAAATAAGTAATGCTCCCAACCCACGAAAAGAAAAATAGAATCTTGTTAATAAATTCCAATATTCTGGAGATGTTTTTCCTTCAATTAATTTGTATTTAGAGTGTTTGGCCTTTGGTTGGCGCATCTCAGTTGTCATCTCGTTTTTTAGTTTCCTCAGCCCATTTCATAAAGGAATTTTTTGAGCAGCAGTAGTGTGGTCCCCCATTATAAAGATAGGGCTGTATGAAGTACTTCGAAAACCTGAGAAGCCAAAGATACTAAAATGAAATTATACTGGAGTTATAAATATTTTATTTCAATGGGTCAAAATATGATACAAGCGGACATTTTGCTCATTGCTCGTAATTTTCTTGCCCCTTCGGGACTCGCAAAAATACAACGCAATTCGTTAAATATCCGCGCGTATAATATGTTTAACCTTCCAATAAGGTTTACCAATCGAAAACCCTTTGGACGAAGTCTTTTGAAATTGCTCGCCGATTCGCCGCTTTATGTTGTAATATTTGATTTCATTATTACAGCGTTGAGTTCTCTAAAGCACACTTCGATAGCATCTAACGAGATTTGGAAGTCCGGCAATTGGTTAAACTTTAAGGTTTCTTTCGTTTACATCCTAACACCGCCCACATTTGGTTTGGAAGCTTGATTAAGGTCAATTTTAAGTAAAGCTTCAGTAGTCAAATCATTTGCTGCTCAATGAATAGAGAGTCAAGATCGCTGATTTTGCCTTTCTTAAGAAATCGACCGTCAAATCCGACACTTGGGTCAGGCATTTGAACACAATTTTGGCCCGGAGTTAGGGGGAATTTCAACGAACCAATCGTAAAAAGTTTAAATACTCAGGGGAGGATGTCGAGCCTTCGAATTGACCGACGGATAACGCAGCGCGTATACAAATTGACATCTGCTTTAGATCAGTGAATTGAGAAGGGCTGGAAAGAGTTCTCAACTTAACTCTTCCGTCTCGAGTTTGGAATGCGGGAAAAGGCGTTCTTTGCAGTGAGGAGGGATCAGGCAAGTGTGAGTCAAGCGGTGTTAAATCGTATGGCTTTAATCTTTCCAGAGATTGTTTGCTTTTCCACACATTGGACGAAGTAGGCGACCATTTTTATATTCCTAATTTTCTGAGGTTTGGAAACCTGTAGATTCGGCTCTGAGTTTAGGCACAGCCACAAAGCAAAGTTGGCGTTGCAGACCCTGACTGGTCGCAAGCCAAAGTCATTCAGAGAGACACGATGATGGTCGAAATGGAAGCTGTTTAAGCAGCTTTTAGAGCAGTTTGGAGACGTGTAGCTATTTCTGCAAGAACCTAAAGTATATAGAATCGCTCTACATTTTGTTAAGGTGGCTTTTGAGCGGGACTAGTAACTACTCAACAAATAGAACTGCGCCTGTGACTCGCACCTCTTTAAAGTCGGCTTGGTTGTAGTTCAACCAGTGCTCGAGGTTTACACTTTACAACTCAACTGTTTTCTGCATGCTTATTGCTTAACTGAACGCTACTGGCATTGCTCACGTTCTTTTACAATAACCAGGGAAGAAGTGACAGAAGATTGACAATTGTTCATCGAGCGGTTACCTACCTTAATTTTTGCGCAGTAGATCGTAACGTACCATACTGTGCTCGCGCGAGATGCTTAACATACGGACTACGCATTGTTAAAATCTATTTCATATTAAATTTTCACTATCTTTCGTAGGTTGCCTGGACAAAATTTTATTGAGAAACATTTCAGTTTAACACTAGTGCACAAAAATGAACATGAGAATACATTTGATTACTTGTTTAAAGCCAACAGTTGACTTATGCAACACAATGCCTGTTGAGGGTGTTACTGTTTCAGCCACTTTAAGCTGCTTGAGAGAGTTTTTAGCTTAAAATTACTATCAGCCTTCTCTCATGACCAGTAGAATAGTGCACTGTCAGATTGTCATCAAGCAGGTGTGATGCTACAACATAATTAGCGCTAAGCTATATCAAAACATTCAATTTGATACTGAGAGTGTAAATCAAGATACTGAAAGAGAGTTCATGCTCTATTAACAATAAATATATAATTTGGACTTGTTTTGCGTTTCTTTCTTTTAAAGAGTACTTCAAAAAAGCAGTATAGTTTTCAAAAAGTGTGGTAAACTAGTAGGATGATATGCAAATGTCTGCAGACTTGCCTAAAGGTGCCTTCGGTGCTCTTTGTTGCGTCTTGAAATAAATACACAAATTTTATTGAAATTGGGTAACATAAATTAGTGGTAACTCAGTAATATACATAATGGCCCTCAAATATTGTAATAAACATATAGGGTTTAAAAGTCTCAACTGGCCGGAGGCAAACCAGTTGGTCGTGTGTAACTGTTTGCAGAAAGGTTGTCGGAAAAAATAAGGAAAAAATGCACTTCAGGCTAGGGTTTTGAAAAGAAATCAGATAATCAAAGAGTTTTAAAACGTGAAAAAATATTTTATAGACAAAAGGGCTAATGAACAGGGGATAAATACCGACAGGACCGTCTGATGCTTGAGGAAGACAATAATATAGAATACTATCTTGAACATTTTTTTCTTTAGGTCTCTTCGAACTTCGCTCTCGTTGAGTTTTCGTCGTTCGTTAAGGTCAGTTCATTTTTTTTCTCGTTTTTCATCAAGTTTAGAATCAAAAGTTAGGCTTATAAACGAAATATATTCAATAAACCCCTTATACCTTTTCCTACAGTGATATTATTTTCAGATTCTCCGGAAATCCTGCGGTCAAGGGTTACTTTTGACCTTTAAACTACACACAACACCATCAGGGGTTGTCGCGAAAGCTTTGTTCCAAAAACCTTTTAGCAATCAATTGTGTAGAGTTTAGCCAATGTGTTAAACTCGGGGCAATTGAGAACAAATCAAGTAAGTAGCAGGGTGGAGGAATTGAACTCGGGACACCAGATTATATGTCCAGCCCACTAACCACTCGGCCATACTGCCTCCACAACTCGCCACTTCCAACTTCCCATGTTTTTAACTTCTGCAGGCATGACCAAGAAAGTTCGTTGGCGGAGACTTTTTCGATGTGGACTATGCTTTGCAGTAACAGTGGGCCTGATGAATTATTTCATACCCTCTTTAGACCAGGCAGTACAAACAAGTCATCGTCAAATAGATCTTAGGAAATATCAAAGCAACTTTCCCATCCTGTCCCCTTCCATTGAACCACGAGTTACCGACTTCGAAGACTTATTCGTTCTGGTGATAGTTTCAATTACGCCCAACGATGAGATGAAAAGAAGAGATACAATACGTCGCACATGGGGGAATTGTGACAAAACTAACAACAATAATAAATGGAAGGTTGTATTCATGATGGGCAAATCCTCGAGTAGCGACAGGAATGAAAAATTAATGGCAGAACACAAACGGTATGGAGATCTTCTCATAGCTGATTACATCGACAAGTATCGAAACATCACGACAAAACTTCTCATGTCATTTAAGTGGGCGACGCGAATTAAATGTAACTATATTCTGAAAACTGACAGCGATGTTTACGTTGACGTTCCCAAGTTAATAGAATGGTTGCTGAATCGAGGCCATCCAAACTCTCTGTACGCTGGCATTCTGCACGGAGGCACTGTAATAAGAAAGAGGGGGCATCGTCATTACGTGAGTAAAGACGAATTTTCGTTAGACTATTATCCACCGTTTTGCAAAGGAGCTATGTATGTTCTGTCAACGAGTTTACTTCCAAAGATGCTCGACTTATCAAGGCAGGTCACTCGAATTGGACCTGATGATGCTTACGTTGGACTGTTAGCAGATCAGCTGGGAATATCTGCAGTGAGAATTGAAGGTTTTTTTCAAAAAAGACCTAACTTTTTGTGGTTGATAAGTGAATGTGAGTTGAGAGATCTCCTTGCGATTGGTGATTTTCTTACTCCAAGTCAATTGAACTACATTCATGGAGTGAAGCATGCTAAGACTTCTGGGCAGGGGTTCGACGCCTCTCACAGTCTTTGTATATCTCTGTACATGAAATTGTCCCTGCTTCGATTATTCTGTGTAATCTGTTTAACCTGTCTGGTGATTTTCGGCTATAGAAGATGTACAACGAGGATTTTAAAAGATGAATCGAGAGGCTTTCCACGTCTAATAAGATATATTTATTCACCGCAGTGGAGGTGAATAGTGGTGGGTATTTACTAGGCCGTGAAGCGGCAAGGTGAATATCCACCACTTTCACCGACACTGAGGTGAATTATTCTTTTAGTATATACAACATCGATGCCAAAAATGTAGTTTATTTCTCTCAATACATAGAAAATGGTGGGAAATTAAAGTCTTGACGCGCGATTTTGTTTCTTCGGCTGCTTGGAGATAAATAGTATTTGCTACTCACTCCCGAACTAGTCAATCAGCGCGCACGAAAAGCACTATTTACCTGTGTGGTAAGTATATTAGAACAGAAAAGCTTTATTTCAGTAGTAACATCGCGGGCTAAATAGCGTTAAAATAAAATAATAATTTCGGTTGAAAAAAAGTCCATGATAATGATTACCGTGAATTACAATCTAATGGTATTGAAATCCGTTGTGCTTATGGCCATTGTCATAATGCATTGCAAACACAACTACCAACCAAAGAGTATCTCGATAGAGTCACAAGATGCCATAACGTTTATTTCTTTAGTTTAAATGTAAATTCAGGTAGCTGTCCAGATTGTAACGCTTCATTTGGAACTATTCGTTGTAAAAATCACTCTTTGTCTACCTTTGCGCAGTTGATAAGTAGGAATAAGTCGTTTGAATCTTGCCTCTCTTTATTTCACACCAATATACGAAACCTGAGAAAAAACTTAAACAACCTTCAAAGCCATATCTTATACGAACTAAATTTCCATTTTAATATTTTAGCAGTAACGGAAATAAAAATTAAAACGAGAATCTTGACTTAAATTCAAACATAACAAATTATAATATGATAAAGGGGGTAAATTTCTAAAGACACTGTAGTGCTGCGTCGATGGGAGAGTATAGCAGGTAATTTAGTGTTAACAACTGAGTTGAAAACGTAAATTAGCAACCGTAAAGGGTAAAAAAGCTGACGTTTCGAGCGTTAGCCCTTCGTCAAAGCGATTGGAAGGGCTACGCTCGAAACGTCAGCTTTTTTACTTTTTACGGTGGCTAATTTACGTTTTCAACTCAGTTGTTAACACTAAATTACCTGAAATTACAATATAGAAAATAATCCTACACCTTTTTCTGACGGAAGTGTATACAGGAATGTATAAAAACAAAGATGTACAAAGTCATTGAAAAAACCTTTAATGAGGCTTTTCAAGCATAGAGGTTTGAAATTGAATTCACTGAAAAAAGTAATATTATTTGTGGAGTTGTCTCTAGGCAGCATAATTTTGCTGACTGCTTCTTGGAATATTTTTTAAGAAACCGTCAATCGATATAGTGCCTTTGGTCAATCATTCTACCCCTTAGGTGACGTCAACATAAATATTCTGAAGTCAGAGACTTGTAATTATGCTCAACAACTTTTAAATTGCTTACAAAGCTACGCTATTTTACTAACAATTGATAAACTGACAAGGGTTTAAAATAACTGCGCCTCACTTGTTGATAATATTTTCTTAAAAAAAATCGAAGATTGTATCGTCAGTAGGAATTGTGACGAGGTTTCTCGCACTACAGGACTCTTGCAGGAAACGCAACAATAAGGGGCGAAAAGAGCTAGCAGTGGAAGTTACCTTTTTTTCTTTCGTACAGATATATAGTTAGAACGTACCGAAACGAGTGCTGAAAAACCCGGAGTCTTCGCCGTCCGCCAAGAAAGCAAAATAATACGAATGGAAATTATTGAGACTGAGAAAAAAGAAGAAGAAGAAGCCAATGTATTTTTCAAATCTAAAATCAGCCCAAAATTTTACCTTTCCAAGTGTACTATTTAAGCTACAATCACAAGTTCCAGTCACGGTCGAAAACAATTGCTTTAGTAAACTCAGTCTGGTTAACGTTCGGCCTTCCGACGCCATGTTAAACATATTATCTGCCTCAGTAACACGTCACGTGAACGTGAATCTGAGCAGCGATTGGTTGCTGTTTTGTTTTGGTCTGGGTTGTCAAATTTGATAACTATCCCTGACTGGTAGAGACCACTTGCAGCGGGAACGGAAACTCGTCACGGTTTCCTGGTACGGAGACCTGCTTCAAGCGAACTTGCTATGGACGTCAAGGATTAGACAGTGTTTGGTTCCACAGTTACTTTATTTTAGTTCATGTCAACAACCGACATAAACTCTAGCGCACTCAACTTCGTAATCGCCACACAGTCATCATGAATGTAATCGCCACGCAGTCGTCTATGTAATACCCACGCAGTCGTCTATGTAATACCCACGCAGTCGTCTATGTAATACCCACGCAGTCGTCTATGTAATACCCACGCAGTCGTCTATGTAATACCCACGTCGTCGTCTATGTAATACCCACGTCGTCGTCTATGTAATACCCACGCAGTCGTCTATGTAATACCCACGCAGTCGTCTATGTAATACCCACGTCGTCGCCTATGTAATACCCACGTCGTCGTCCATGTAATACCCACGTCGTCGTCTATGTAATACCCACGTCGTCGTCTATGTAATACCCACGTCGTCGTCTATGTAATACCCACGTCGTCGTCTATGTAATACCCACGCAGTCGTCTATGTAATACCCACGCAGTCGTCTATGTATTCCAATATTGTTCTTTAACTGTGCTATATTTGAACAGTATAACAGAAGAAGAGGAAATTGTCTCTTTGAAGTTATCGATTCTAATAAAATAAGAGAACGGTGATTGAACCCACAGCTTCAAAATTAAAGATAATATCTCAGCAAGTAAGAGTGAGAAGTCAATTAACCCTTTACACCCTAACATCAGGATTCATATTCTCCATACTGCTCGCTATACATTCACTTAGGTGCTGACAAGGAGAATTTGTCTAACGATCAAGAGTTTCTTTAGTTGTGTGATTCATTGGTGATATTGTAAGGAGAAATTAGATGCTAGTCACCCTGAGGAGTAAAAGGGATAAAATTCCTGCCTATCGATGCGATGTTGGTGTTGAGTTTGAACAAGTGGCAACCTGAAAAATGATCGTATGATAAGGACCAATTTACGGACGATAGTTCTGCTGGCAACATCCTTGAGAAGCAATTTACCAGAAAAGGTTGGCACAAGGATTGTTTACTTAACAATGTTCACTAAGAATAAGATCATTAAAGACCGATGTTCAAGAATACAAAGGCGGCGAGAACAATGGAATATGTACAAGTTGGTAGTTGTTAGCTTTTACCTTTTTTAGAACATTGCAATAAAAGAAACTCAGATGAATCGAGAACGGCTAAAATATTGCAGGAAAAAGTAATAAATATGCTCCAAACAAACACACGAAAATCACCAAACTTCCCCTAATAGGATATTGTATCAGATCCCACTGATCATTTTTCTTAATTTTGCGTTTTTCAATCAACCATAGAAACCATCAAACCTCGGGAAAAAAGAAATTCGTGACTATTCAAAATTCTATCGACAAATGTTTTTACAGAAATTGTCGGAACTCACGTGGGAGTCATCACCAGCTGTTAAGGATCCCTCCAAGTTATTTCCACCTTTCACAAAAAGCTGCGTAAGCTGGTGAACAAGCATGCGCCACTTCCAACCCTTGTCAAAGTACGAAGGTAAACAGCTGGAAAAACCGAGGATCACTACGGGAATACGAAAAAACAATAAAAATAAATAATGAGCTTTTTCTCCGGTGATCGGGAAAGATATAAACTTTACAGATATAAAGTGCTTCAGCTATCTCGTATTAGTGAAAAGAATTGTAAGTTTTTGTTTTTTTTTTTACAGCAGCGGAAGGCTGGAGAGAGAAAAGAAATTTATACCGAGCGGGTGGGTGACGGTCAAAAAGGAGGAGCAGGGAGGGGTGGAACAATGAACATTCTTCTCACCTCTTCCCGCCCTCTCCCCGCACCGTTTACTCTAACCCTCGATCACAGAAGGCCAGTTGAATAAACGATCATGAGCTTCTGAAAGTTAACTTGCCCTAAAAAGACACCTGCAACGCAGGCTATGATGCCCCTGTCTCTGGTGCCAATTTTTGTTACAAATCTCCCTTCATGTCTGTGGGTCGGCCCCACGGGAAGGCCGCCGATACCTGCACGAGGCTTCCAGAACCCAACTAACAACAATAATAAATGGAGGGTTGTGTTATCGAGGCTAGAGATGCTGATGAAAGTTCGATTTCGGAGGGTCATACGAGTTGGACTGTGCTTTGCAGGGATAGCAGCCCTAATATATTTACTCATACGCCTCTTCGTACCACCAATTCATCGCCGAATAGATCTTAGGAAACATCAAAGCAATTTTCCCATCCTGTCCCCTTCCATTGAACCACGAGTTACCGACTTCGAAGACTTATTCGTTCTGGTGATAGTTTCAACTTCGCCCGACGACAAGATGAAAAGAAGAGATACAATACGTCGTACTTGGGGTAAATGTGACAAAACTAACAACAATTACAAATGGAAGGTTGTATTCATGATGGGCAAATCGTTGAATAGCGACATGAATGAAAAATTAATGGCGGAACACAAACAGCATGGAGATCTTCTCATAGCTGATTACATCGACAAGTATCGAAACATCACGACAAAACTTCTCATGTCATTTAAGTGGGCGACACAAATTAGATGTAACTATATTCTGAAAACTGACAGCGATGTTTACGTTGACATTCCCGAGTTAATAAAATGGATGCTGAATCGAGGCGATCCAAATTCTCTCTACGGTGGTGTTCTGTACAGAGGAATTGTAGTGAGGGATACATCACACCGTCACTACGTGACTAAAGACGATCTTTCTTTGAACTATTATCCACAGTTTTGTAAAGGCTCTATGTATGTCCTGTCAGCGAGTTTACTTCCAAAAATGCTCGACTTATCAAGGCAGGTCACTCGAATTGGACCTGATGATGCTTACGTAGGATTGTTAGCAGATCAGCTGGGAATATCTCCAGTGGGAATTGACAGATTTTTTCAGAAAAGTCTCTTACCGTATATCTTCTGGTTTATGAGTAAATGTGAGTTGAGAGATCTCCTTGGAATTGGTGACTCACTTACTCCAAGTCAATTGAACTACATTCATGAAGTGAAGCACGCCTCTTCTGTCTCCTACTATCTTTGTATTTCGTTGCTTGAGAAATTTTTCCTATTTATATTATTTTTAATCATTTTAACGTGTCTGCCGCTTTTAGGTCGTAGAAGGTTTTCTACAAGGATTTCAAAAGGAAAATGAGATCGTGTTTGATTATCTCTTCATTTGTTCAATTAGTACATTCATACATTCATTTGTGCAATCATAAACTAAGTGGAACAAAATTGAGTCTGGAACTACAAGTATGATTTCTGACCAAAATTGCAAGATACAAACTTCAATTACCACTCTTTTACACCTATGAACAATCACAAAGTTGCGGTTCTTGAATAACTGTAAGAAATTAAATTCATTCATATTTTGGGGTAAAAAAAAAGGTTAGTGGGGACAAAAGTTGTTAAATTCCCCACACATGGCTTTTTTGTTTCATTTCCCTACAATTTGATTGGTTGCTTTAAAGAAGCCTTGAAATCTGATTGGTTATGTTGAAAAAGAGGCAAAAATTGATTGAAAAGGATGCAATTTAGAGCTAGATATAGCACAATTTGTGAATAAGTTACATTGCTGAGAGCCAATCACATTACAAGGATTGCTAGAGACTTAAAAGTGACTGCACCATAAATGAAATCAAATTCTCAGAGCCAAAATAAAGAGTCACTTTTGAGACACAGTGCAGAGAAATGCTATCTCAATTTGGGGAGGTAAAGGGACATATACAACCTAAAGAAAACCATAATGTATGCCAATGTGTTTAAGGTCAAACAGGTCGTCATAAGCCAGTTTGGGAAGAGCCACTGGTCCCCTCACTCCCATGAATCTGGTCAAAGAATTTAAAACAAAATCTAATGAGAAAACAATTTTTCTTTTGGTGAATTGAGAGTTTCTTGTTCAGGCTCAAGGAACACAGAGAGAGTTCCTAACATGAAATCTATTTTTAAAGGTAAAATTGAAAATACAAAATACTTATTGACCAAGTTTGGTGGGTCCACGCAGGAAAATATTTGGCTCTCTGTCATGACATACAGACCTACTGCAAAATATTTCCCATCAGGCCCTCCCTCTTAGTCAATAGGAACATAGTTTTTTGTCTGATCCTGAGAACAATAACACTGTTCAGACACAAACAATGTTTTGCTGAAGTGCTATTGTGCACTATGCTTTGCAGGAATCCAAGGAGAAGCTGGGAATTTCCTAAGGATTTTTATCAAGTCAAATAAAAAGAAATTGCATCTGATTGTGGCTTACAAATAGCACAACAGGAAAAGTCAAAATGTGATAAATAACTGCCATCTTTGATTTTTTTTAGTAGGGAGGAGAGGCTGGGAAGAGAAAGATATTTGTACCAAGGGGGTGAGCAACAGTCAAAATAAAGGGGAGGGGAGGGGTAGGGCAATAGAAATTATTGACAACATAGATTCACCCTGATAAGACACCTGCACTGCAGGCTAAACTGAAACAGGTAAAATTTTCAATAAAACTGTACATTATTGATAGTTTTTCCTCTATTTTTACACAAATAAGTCAGATATTTAAGTCTTCATCAGGATCATCTTCATCAAAGTCATCTGCTTCATCAGGTTGGTAGAACACTTTTCCTTCACCCACAGGGTTTACAGTGACCTCGCTTCTCTCCTCTTCGTGGTGCATGTAGGGAAGTTTCAGTTTAGATCGAGCTTGGCGCTCATTATCTGTCAGCGTCAGACTGAATGTGAGATTTTTAGTTGGATCAACCTGAAAGATTACATTCAATTGATGGTAAAATAACAGCAGAGAAAACTAGCTTTGAACTCACTATTTGTATCTTACATCACAAGAAAATGTCATTTTCTTCAGTCATTCAAAAATAAACTTGCACAAGGCTCACCTCATTAACAGATTCACTGACAGCTTTTGAAGAAGAACCATTCCAATCCTTTTCCTCGTATTCAGTCAGTACATGTTTATCATTAATGGCAAAGCTTTCAAACTGCAACAACAACCAGATTTGAAATAAGTAATGCTCCCAACCCACTAAAAGGAAAAATAAAATTTCAACCTAGCTGTAGTGTCAGTGAGGAGGAAACATCCATCTAAACATTATTAGTATTATTGTTAGATTTTCTGAGTTCTGTTGCATCATGATTCACAAAGGTATTTACCCACATTGGGGGTGGGGATTGAAACTATTGATATTAATCAGCTGAAACATTTACAATTACAATCAGTAAATACTCTTGGCAGAACAGGATAAGTTGATTTTAACAACTGAGATGATAAATAAGAATTTCCCACCATAGAAAGATTCAATAGGTTACATTTCATACCTTAGCCCATCATCAGAGGGAATCAATCAGTTCTGACAGGGCTAATGCTTGAAACTTCACATTCTCGACTTGGTTTATTGATAAAACTTATTAATTATCTTGTAATACCCTAGCGTCTGCACAGTTTCTGTAGGAACTTAAAAGTCCTTCACTAATTTCTAGGTAGACCATTCTACACGTACCTTCTTTATCACTTTTCCAGTTTTCCTCTTGTGAAGAACCTTGCACCAGTTCACTGACTGATCTGCAACACATTTTACCAGTGAAATGATCTATCTTTTGCAGAAGAATGGATATATAATTTTACTAAGTCTGAAATATCAGTGTGACAAATTTTCATAAATCAAAAATCACACTCAAATTACATGAATTGCCAGGTATGAAAAATGACATTTCACCTTCAAATTTGTGGCCTTAACCCTTTTCACCCTAATATTCAAATTCATAATCTCCATACTGTTCTCAATACACTTCTAAGGTGCTGACAAGGAGAATTAGTTTAACAATCAAGAGCTTCTTTAGCTCATGATCATTGCCTTTCCAGACCTTAATGTGTGATTGAGGGGTGACATTGTTAGGAGAAATTAAATGCTCATCTTGAATCAAAAAAGAATCTAAAAGGGAGTGACAAATAATGATATTATTATTACTGTCATCCATTGCATGGTCTTTGTAGGATAGAAAAAAAGTAGTAATCACATTGAGAATGAGCTCTTTGGATGACTTACAAAAGCGAAAAAAAGCTAAGTTTATGAAAGCAATGTTTTCTCCCCTTTAATGAATTAAATTTTATCCCAAATGATGGAGTGCAAAATGAGGAAAACCTAAACTATTCCATTCTCTCACAAGGCCTCAAGAAACAGTAGATTGAATTGTCGTGCTTCTTCTTGATTTTATTCAATGTAGAAATCAAGAATTCAAAGGGTAAATTTTTTTGTACAAAGCTTGTTGATCTTTCCTGATATGATCAGCTTATTAGACCTGTTTACTACCCTTAACCCTTTAACTCCCAAAAGTGATTACCATGTAACTTCTCCCTACAGCATCCATACATTATACAGCAAACAGGTAATGAGAAGACTCAAACTCATCAGGTACAATTTATTACCTTGATTGAACACCTAATTCTTGTAATCAATTAACAAGGACATGTGTAGCAGCTAGAGGGGAGAATTAACAATCAGATCTTGGGAGTTAAAGAGTTAAATAAAAGTTTGAGAAAAGTGTTATTTCTTTAATCAAAACATTTTTCACCTTTCTCTTCCTTGTCCAGTGTAATCCAAAGAAGTGATGAAGCCAAGAAATTGATAGTATTTAATGTCTGGTCATCGTGAAGATCAGAATGCACTAAAGCAACAACTTGAACCACTTGATAACCTGACAAGGAAATTTATGAACAAAAAACTAATCTTTACCAGAGCAACACTATAACAACTAAAATAAAATAAATTTATTTTGCTGTGGGTCTGAGTGGGTGGGTGGAAGAAGCTCTTGATTGTTGAACAAATTCTTCATGTCAGAACCCTTCAAAATGTCTAAGGAGTGGTATGGAGAATATGCATACTGATCTTTGGGAGTAAAGGGTTAAAATAACTTCTTCTATAAGCGGCTGCCAATGTTGTTATAGGCAACTGTGCCCTAAAAAAGAGCTGCAAGGCAAAACCCAAATACCAGAGCCTGCTTGCAGGCTAAACAGATGACAGCAAGAGGTCTTACAGGCAGCAATAGACCATCAGTTCTTCCCTGTCAGTTGCAGTATTCCTACTCCCTCCTGGATGGGACCTCAATGATCCATTACAACCCAGAATAGTTAAAAAATTTTCAAAGAATGATTACCTTCCTGTGAGTGTGATGAGTTGGAGTACAGTTGATTTAGTAGTGTGCACACCATTGCCGAAGATTTCCACAGTAAAAGCCTACTCAATGAATTGAATACAACAGCTACCTTAACGACATCACCTGGAAAATAAATAGCAATGACACAGCAGTGTAAGTCATTGAGCAACACAAACCAGTAGTAGTAAAAGCAACTTAACACTTGCACCCCTTAGAGTGACTAGCATCTAATTTCTCCTCACAATATCACCCCTGAATCACATATTAAGGTCGCAAGGTAAAGTAAAGCCTTTATACGGGCCCAAGTGGCCCATGGGACCGGTGCTTAACTCTGGTTTTCTTAGCATGAAGCAGCCAGGAGTATTGCTACTCCCTCCTGGATGGGATGCTAGTCCATCGCAGGGTTACCCCCAGCATATTTGCTGGTACCCATTTGTACACCTGGGTGAAGAGAAGCACTGTGAGAGTAAAGTGTCTTGCCCAAGAACACAACACAATGACCCCAGCCAGGGCTCGAACCCGATCTGGAGTCAAGCGCACTAACCATGAGGCCACCACGCCTCCACATTAAGGTCACAAGGATAAAGTAAATGATCACCGACTAAAGAACTCTTGATTGATAACCAAATTCTCCTAGGTAAGTAATCACCATGATTGATAATGGCAACCTTTTTTAACAATTCTCACCAGACTTTGTTGCAGTATTTTGTGCACAGCAATGAGCTATGTTACTTTTCACCACTTGAGCGATGTTAGAGTCCTGGTGGATAATAGTCATATGACTGTCTTGATGATCAGTTCTGTGAAACACAGTAGTAACAACAATTTGAAATCTCCACATTTTCCCATAAAAAACTGAAAGCCTTCACAACAAAGTTAAAATTGTATTGAACAAAATGTACAGTCAATAAACCCTTTAACCCTTTAACTCCCAAGATCTCATTAGTAATTCTCCTTGCTGTCTGCCAAATGATTCTGATTATGTTAGTTTGGAGAATTTGGTATCAGATAAATTAGTAATCCCATAATTAATATTTTTCTTAATTCTCGCCACTTGTCTGCATGATATTGTATAGATATAGCATGGAGAAATTCTGTCTTGGTCACTCACATGTAACTTCTGCTTACAATATCCATACATTATCAAACAAACAAGTAATGACTAAAAAATAAACTTATCAATAAGAAGTTGTGATCCATCACTAAATTCTTGTAACTAACCTAAGAGGAAATTTGTAGAAGCAAGCAGGAAGAATTGACAATCAGATATTGGGAGTTAAAGAACGAAATATAGGTTGCCTTGAGATGGTTTTAGTATGTATTTCTTTTCTCACAACTGACAGAGGAACTTGATTCCTGGCACCAAAATCCCCTTCTAACAAAGAATAAACTTGCAGCTTATGACCGTAAAGTAAAAGTATAAAGGCTGACAACTGCAAAGTGAAAAAAGATTGTCTTGCCTTGTAAGATTCCATCCAAGAGGATCTGAAAAGCCATCATAGCAATAAATTCTAAGAATGAAGAGAATTCAATGGAAAAATCTTGAGCTTAAATGTTTAATAATCGGAACAGCTATCATACATTTAACATAACCTTGCCTGAAAAAAAAAATTATGACTACAGGAGGATTTAAGATTGCTTTTGTAACTTTCTATTACCAACCAAGATATCACAAGAATCACAGCGGAAAGCAAAAAAATGTGAAAATGGCTGGTCTGTTAACCTTTCTTTCAAGTGTGGGTCAAATGAATCAACAAACTGCTGTGGTGGTACATCCCAGAGTATTACATGCACATAGTCAGCCCTAGAAAAATAAATAAATAAATAAACAAAATGCTGAAATAATATCAAGGATTCAACAAATACTAGAAACTACTTTTCCAAATACTTTAAAACTAACCAGACAGCTGTGATAATAAAGGCCAGCTTATTTTGCAAGAAATACCACATCAGCTTAAATATAGATAGCCATTTAATAAATGATGACTTACTTCCTTCCCTCTACATTTCCCTAACCCTCCACTAGATATAAACCCTTGAATCTGAACAAAAAACAAGTTTGATGAAAAAAGAACATCAATTTTAAAAAAATTGTGTCTATTCTGATCTGATTTATTTAACTCCCATTGGTCAAAATGCACCATGCCAATTATTAAGCTGCAAATTCAAAATGAAGAATGTGTCTCAGTCAAGAGAGTCTTGAGAGAGCTGGGGTGAGACAGGAATTAATGCCATTTGTTTATAAGCTTATTAAATTTTCATTTGAGTTCACTGTTGTTTTTAGAACTAGTGGCCATTTTCATACATATTTTCCTGGGATGTTTCCCAATCCAATACAGACCATGCTGCATTTTGAACATGTTACCCTGCTAACCTTGCGCGTTGGTTTGGAATTGTTTTGTTCTTTCTTTTTAATGAACTTAAAAGACGCTTTGCACAATTTCAACATTGGTTCAATTCAATGAATGATCCATCTTGCATTTCACAATTTTCTCATTTGCAAAAATTACCTCTCCAGTAGCGACTTCACAAAACAACAGAGCAGGGGCTTACCATTTCGATTCACATCATCTGGAAAATAATGATAAAAATGTTTAACTGTTAGACGTTCATCTGTAAGATGAACTTTGTCCAATTTTCAACTGCACCAGTTCAAGCGCTTGAAAACTCACCATGAATGAGAACAAGATGAGAATTTTCTTTTCCATTTATAATATCTCCGAGAAGCATTTTCCACCTGTTTTTTCACAAGGATGAAAAGTATTCTAGCACAGAGTTCACGCGATCCGCCATTTTGGCCGCGTTGTTAGCGTAGACCTGGGACCAGACAGCGCAAGAGTAGACAAAATGGTCAGCGGAAATGTAACCTAGCAACAGTGCGTCCATGACGACAAATTTTCATTGAAACGAAACAAATAGTTCTCATTACACTTCTAATTGCTTTTTCCAAAACTTCTAGAACAAGAATGGAAGAACACGCAGATGCGAAATGGAATTTACCGGGCTGGAGAATAGAGCAGAAGTACAGCACTGATGTACTGATCGGGAATTGGAACGAAGAACGTCGAGTGGTAAGTAGCGCTCCATCTTTTTAGTAGGGTTGAACATTCCATCATGCGGATGTGAAATAATTTCTCGGCACAATAGAACCCAACAAGCTGTGAACAATTAGCTTCGTAATATCAGCTTGCTAAGATCCAATTTTCCTTATTTCTTCAATGCTTAATAAGCCACATCCAAAAGAATTCTCTCATTCAATTTCCGATAGAAACTGTCAAAAGTCACTCGTGACTTTTACAATTTTGACTGAAATGCCCATTGTTGAAATAATTTTAATTCCAATAACTGAATTGCGTATTTGCTTGAACACTTGTAGCGATGATAAACATCTTCTTTGGAAAAGAGCCAGAATCAAAGATCAAAAATATGAATCATTATGACATTACTCGATTAACAAATACTTAGTCGAGTAATTTTATTTTTTTTTGCAGATGTGTTTTGTATTCTCTTTGTTCACTAAAGTTACGTGAATATTTTATACTGAATTCCTGACCTGCTAGTAGGTTGCAGTCGCTCAAATGGAGAAAAGGAATTTACTTAATGAACAAGAGTTTGAAATTTAGGAATAGATTAAAATATTTTGTTTAGAAGCTTATTAAATTTAACAGCAGTTTGGTAATAATTTCTGGTATTTATATATTCAAGCATTTCACACAATTTACTTGCGCAATAAGTTTTGAGCATGAATTTTTTGATGGCTTTTTAATGAACATTAGTTTCTTTCCTGAAAACAGTTGGTGGGATGCTTATTGCACGTTTCTCGTTCTGACAGGCTTCCACTACAGATATTTCTAAATTTTACTTTCAACTTCTTTGACCATCAGTAGGGCACTTTTCTGTAGTTTTCGAACTATATTCTCTACTGATTAGTCACAAGTGCTTCTCTGCCCCTTGCTCAATTACTGAAAATGACAGGGAGAAAGGGAACAATTCAATTGAGACAGTTTTCTTGGCAGGGCCCCAGAAGTGCCAATTTTCTCTTCCAAAAGACAAAACTTAATTAAAATTAAATTTCACAGCTATTATATTGTTGTGTTTTTTCTTCAGTTTGGACGTGGTGACTCACACTTTGGTAGTACTCACAGAGTGGACTTCAAAAATTATGGAAAATTTCTACCAGATGTCACAACCAGACGAAAAGCTCTTCAGCAACATAATGTAAGTTAGTAGTTAAAATATAAATTACAACAAAATTGTTTTCTATCAACATTGCAGGCAAACTTTTATCTTTTTGTTGCACTGTCTACGAACTTCCAGTGCCTCTAAAGATAATTGTTGTTAAAGGACTGAAAGATTATAGCCTTGGCTCTGGTTGTTGAGGGTGAATAAAACCACCCAAGAAAAAACTGCATAATAAGTCCCTAAACTTATTCTTTCCCTCTCAGGATCTATAAGCAACTTCTCCTAACTGGTGACCATAGCTTTCTTTGTTGACCATTAGTAAGAATTTGAAGCTAAATGAAAAAAAAGTCCACGATCCTGAAGAAAATTATTTTTCTAGTTCTGACTAAATCCCTGCCCAACAGTCTATTAAATTTATCTTAGGAATGTCAAAAACCATTGCCCCTGAGATTGAAAGAACTAATAAATCAATTCCCTAGATTGTGATAAATCCACAAGACACCCAAAGTTCTATCTAGCTAAGTCACAAGTGACAAACTCATGTCTTTGAACAACTTTTGTAACCTTCTGTATATGATACTTTTAAGAACTGGCTGCCCTAGATTTAAAATCAAGAGCCTCCTGGCATCCAGTCATTTTTTTTCTAACAGCACAGCTTTAATTTCAATACCCACCCTTTGTAAAGTTTAAGCCTGATGAAAAAAAAAATAGTTTGTAAATTAACAAATAAATGTGTTATTCTATCAAATAGTATCTTTCTTTAAAGTTTATTGATTATTTCAGGGGCTAGGAAAAGAGTTCATATTCTCCCATCATCAAAAAGCTTATGAGGGCAACAGAATATCCTGGTATGACCAACAGTTTAACAAGCGTGAGATTACCGAGTCAAGGCTGCCACCACTGAGGAGCTGGGACAGGCAAAAGTTGGCCTGGGCACCAGAGAAATCTGATTACCCTACCCAAGGTTTGTTCTAAGTAGACTCTTCATCACCAAAGAGGAATTTCTCCTGTATCAACCCATTCTCAATTCTTTCAGTGCATGACATGTTGATGCAAGTGGCATGGTCAGTACTCTTATCAACAACAGCAAATTGGCCAATCAGATTGCAACATTACTGCTAATTGTGAAAAAAAAAAAAAGATTCAAAATAATGAAATAGAGCTTTCCTTGAGAGTACTTTTGATGTCATTTAGATTTATATCTGATAGTATGCTTGACTGTTCAACTATGACAAGGACATTGGAACAACAAACTGGGGAAGTTCAAAACCCAATACCATGAAAGCTTCTATGGAGACTTGGGTGTAGGTTCTCTGCAAAAAGCTATCCCCAAGTTATCGTTCCATGAATTAGACAGGTAGTTAATATCAATTTTTTCTTAATGTTTATCTAGGACCTCCTACAAACTACGGACTTCTGAAGAAACTTCAGCAGAAGTGGAAGAATGAGGCAGCTTTGGAAAAACTTGGGACAAATGTGTCCACTTACAACATATCATTCACCCAACATCCAAAAGAATTATTTACATTTCAACACCATGCAAGACCAAAAAGTCTCTCATGTCACTTCCATCCACATAACATCAACAAAGATCTGCATTTACGAGGGAAACAGCTCAGCACTGCTCCAGAATTTCCTCCAACTCTTGCCATTCCACACAATGTTCCTCCAAACTTTCCACAATCAACCATACTGGCAATTTAAAACCATTTTCATAAAAAAAAAGAAAATTGTGGAAATTTTTTTTGTGCATGTCACTTTTCTGTGATAACTTTTTTCTTCTTACACAACAACTGCTCCCAACTTTATTTATTCATGTTTTTATATGTAAATAAATAGATAACATGAAAAAATACTTTTTGGATTGCCTATCTAATTAAAAGTGACCCTTTTTGGGTTAACCCCTTAACTCCCACGATCTGGTTGTCAGTTCTCCCCTTTAGCTGCTGCACATTTCCTTGAAATTAGTTACGAGAATTAAATGTTAGATCAAGAAAACAACTTCTTCCTGCAGATAACTTTGGGTTAATTCTCATTACCTGCTTACTGGATAATGTATGGATACAATAGAGAGAAGTTAGATGTTGATCACTTCTGGTAGTTTAAGGGTTAAAAGTTGCTTAATTTGATGACTTAGCAAAGATAATTCAAAAGTTGTTTTATATCTGTTGATTAAGAAATGGTCACCTGCACATAATATTGTAACAGTGACTATGGGTGATACAAACAACACAGTGAGGTTGTAATTAGTTAAATTCTGGATACACAAACAATAGGCAGACTGGAAATAAGTAAGTACATAATATTCTATATTGACTTTGCCACAGAAATTATACTCTTAAAAAATTGTCTAGCATTATCATTACCAATGATTATCACAATACTTGAATGATTTATTGACTGTTATGCAGACTTGGAAAGCAACCAAATAGTTGCAAAATCTCTTCTTAAAGAAATGTGGTCTTTTTTATCATAACTACCAAAATATTGGCCCTTAATGTAACTCTGACAGGTTATAAATTACTGAGCTTGTAATTTGAGCCATTCAGTGGAAATGAGCTAATTATTCATCTTAGACACATATACCATTACTGTTTGGTTTTTGTAAAAGGTCACACAATGATTTGTACAATTTATGACAAAAATGTTTAGTAATATATTTTCAAAATAAAACAGCACCATTCACACAGAAAATATTGGCAGTGTTGACTTTTCTTTTTAACTAATTATTCTTTCCTTTATATTGAATTTTTGCATTCTTTTATCAAAAAGCTTACCACCTTGTGTTACATTCACTTAAGCATTCTTCACTTCCACTACTTTGCATACTGCTTCACGCTTGCTGTAGGTCATTTTTTATTTGCAGGCCTAAAAAACTGTTCTTGAAAACTCTCTGGAACAGCAAGCAGTAGCACCTGTTCAAGCACTATAGCAGTGAGGCCCCAAATCTTGCGAGGTCCATTGAGAAACAATGGATAGACAGTCTGAGATGTAAACTTGGTATAGCCTCGATTGAGTGGATTACAGACATGTGCCAGTGAAAGAGTGAAGACAGATTCCACCTACAGACGCGAAAATTTATAAAATTAATTAAGCTTTTGGTTCTAAGATATCTTTTCATTCTTTTCCTCCTTTCAAGCCTGTCCACATTTTAATCCCTAGAATTTCCTAATAAATAAGTGATATTGTGAAATCTCAGTTTTTAATGATAATTTAACCCTTTCACTCCCAAGATCAATTTTAATTCTCCATACTGTCTGCCATACAAAGCTTACTAAAAATTTAGTATTGGATCAACTATTATAATCCCCTAGTTTTATATTTTTCTTTATTTTCATCACTCTTCTTCTTGATATTGTTTTGACACTGTGTTTATGTTACCCAGATCAATACATTGGCCAGGAATAAAATTTTACTCATGACTAAAAGAAAAGTTTGAAAAAACTGTTGTTATTATTTTCATTATTGATTCCTTACCTCCTCTGGGTTTAATTTAAGTGAATTCACATCAATTTCTCCAAGAAAACCAATGACAGGGGTGACAGCTTTTTTACCAGTCTAAAATGAAGTTTACCATGACAGTCATAAATGATTGAAAATATTGCAGTACTACGTGAACATCACACTGCTCTCATCTCACCACGAGCTTTTCTGCTAAATACTAGTGTTAATATCTCTGTCCCACAGATAAAAAATTTATCATTTCTACAACTGAGGGAGGTGCAGTGGAATACTGGTGAGTGATATAGACTCCCAGTTGAGAGGTCCAAGTTTGAGACCAAGCCTGTGTTGCATTCTTGGGCAAGACACTTTACTTTCATGGTGTCTCGGCCTCCACCCATGAGCACAAATGGGTATGGGCAAATTGTTAGGGAATCCTGATAAAATTCTGGGGGGTAATTTTGTCATAGACTAGTGTCCCATCCATGGGGAGTAGTATTTACTCCTAGTCACTTCATGCTGCTTGGAAACTGCAATAAGCTCCACCTGGGTGGGCTAATAAGCTCATGTACAGACTTTTCACATCTTCATACTCATATAGAAATAGATACCCGATCTGGAAATGCTGGCATCTGTGCCCAGACTTGAACACAACTTCTCTCCAGTCCTAATTCCTCTTCCATTTCCCGAACAGCTGTGTCTACAATACTGTTATCTTCAGGATCTCTCTTACCACCTGGAAAACTATGAAATGATGGCAATAAGTCATTACACAAAAGATTCATACCAGCCTAAACCATGCCAGGAATCAAGAAACATTGATCGATTTAAATTATCTGATATTAAATCTCAGATTGCTTATTAAGTTTAATACCAAACTTGGATGAACAGCTCAACTTGATTATGCGATGAGGTTCAAGGACATTCACAAAGAAGGAGAAAGGGAAGGAAAAAATGGATTTTAGCGGAGGCAGTTCTACAAGATGGCTCTATTGACTGTTTTCAAGTGGAACTGCAATTTGGAGTGTTGGTTTTTGAGGTGAGATGAAAACCAGAGAACCTAGAGAGAAACAACAACCAACAACAAAAACATATGATCTAACTCAGGCCATATCAGACAGAGGCCAGTCCTTCCACCATTGCCCTATCTCTGCCTCCACAATAACCATTGATTATTATCATGATTTACAGATAATTAAGATAGTGACCCCAAGAGATTAGCAACTAACCTTACTTCTCCTTTGTGACTGTTCAATTGACTGGAACGAAGAGTAAAAAGCACTGAGGGAACAGAGTTCACAAGACAGAAAGGGACAAATACAGCAGCCTCCTCAGAGCACCTTGCCAGCAAAGACTTAGGAGTTCTCATTTTTCCAAGCTGCCTGACAAGGCGGTCTTTATTCTCCTCTGAAAAGGCATCACTGAAATTTGAACATGTTCGTGTCAAACTGGACGTTCTTATTGTTCTTGAATTGTGACTTCTTGGAAAGAAAGGCGAGCTGCTGGAACGACTAATATTTGATGAGAATTCAGAGGAGGTTGGGTAACATCTTGAAAACCGTAGTTTACGAAAAATTCTTGCGCCTTGTGTCATCGTGGAGTTCATTTAAACGTTTTTCCCTTCCAACTGAAGGTAGAGTTTCGACGTGTAAAAATAAAATTACAAAAATGACGCAAACAATTTCACAAAGATATGCAAAATTTTCGACGAAGTAACAACTGAATTACGACAATCTCTTTGACGAAGCAGCGCCACCTTATATTAGCCTCATAGCAGTACAACTTTCTGCCTGAATGTTGTAGCTTTACAAATCAGCTTTTCTATAAACACGTTAGTTGACCAAAAACGAGCATTCATCGTGGACTTCTTTTCATGGTTCATTTAAATTTCGCCGCCATTTTGACGTTTCATAATCAAGTGTTTATGTAAGTTACATGAATATTCTTCTTTTGTTAAAACGCCGCTGTGCACTATAGAGCCTTCAGTCAAACATGACGTTAGCGAAAAGAACTGTAGAGCTTTTTTACGATGTTATTTCACCATATTCTTGGATCGCGTTTGAGGTAGGTGACCTAATTTCAGTAAGAATTTATTTTATAGACTGCATTCGCGTCTCAACTGTTAAGAAAACGTTTCCAAGGACGGGCAGATTTTGTACAGCGAGAACCAGCTTCACTGCTTGATGAGCGCTCTTAGCTCACGGATATCTGGGGCGCGTTAGATGCTTAGAAGTATCGGAACAATGTCAGTATCTGAGCAACTGCACACCCATCCCCTCCCCTAACCCAAAAACTGTGCATCCACCCCTCCCTTAACCCAACATTAACCCTAGATTGTTCTCAGTTGACCGTTGTTGGGTTAGCCAGGGGAGGGGGAGTAGCAGGTGCCCTGTTGCTCAGATACTGATATTGATGCAAAGTATCAATAAGAAAGTACTGCATCTCTGGAAATGATTTAGGTCTGATTGATTTTCTGATATCTTAATGTTACACAAATATGAAAATGAGGAATATCCTTGTCAGGATACTATGGTGGGGATATACAAAGAGCCAAAAAATTTCAGCAGGGGTGGGAAGGAGGGGATGGTTAGGGAAAACCCTTTGCATAGCTTTCTGTCTCAGAGTGAGATGATGTGTCAGTTTAAATTAATTTAGTTAAATCTTCTAAGAAAAATACAAAATAGACTGGTACTGGAAAAGAAACTTTTTACAAATTACTTATTAAAACAACTTTTGTATTCATTTATTGACAGGTGCTTTGTCGGTATAGACCCAAATGGAATTTAGACTTGCAATTCCGTCCTTTTTTTCTGGGAGGAATAATGGCAGGCTCAGGTATAAGATTATTGAGGTTCTTTTGATTTGTTGTTAAATTTTTTGCACACAACAGATGGGGGAATATAGATACCAGAGTGCATATTTCGAGTACAGTGTTTTTTTTTTAGCATAATCCATTGATTCACATTACACTTAAGAAACTAATTCACCATATGAGTTTTCACATAATCATATATATTTATAGTTTTTGCTTTTGAACAATATGCAATAATGTAAGTATTTAAATTTGAACTAAATTTTTCTGTCATACGATGGTATAACTATGAAACAAGCATTTCAATGTAAAACAAGCATTTCAGAGTGACAGTCCATGACAAACTGAATTACTAAACTGTCAGTGGGTCCTCAGTGTAAATTATAGACTCCTCTTTCATCCCTTATACCCCAGCATCAGTATGCATATTCTCTATACTGTTCCCTATACACTTTTTAAGGTGTTGAAAAAGAGAATTTGTCTTCCAATCAAAAGCTTCTTGAGCTGATGATTTTTTCCCTTTTCTTATATATGCTCTTAATGTGTGATTCAGGGGTGATATTGTAGGGAGAAATTAGATGCTAGTCACTCCAAGGGGTCAAAGGGCAAACATCAGCAAAATACCTTACAACAGTCTCTCTTTCCTGTAATCTTTCTTACTTATGCTTGATGATATTCCCATATTCTTATTTATGAAATGCGTAGGTAACAGACCTCCAGCAATGGTTCCAGCTAAAGGTGTTTACATGATTAAAGATATTCAAAGAATGCAGGAGTATTATGGAATCCCTATTATTCCACCTTCTGTGAGTGTTGATATCAAGATTTTATCTTTTAGATGAGTTGGTATAGAAACTGAAATCCAATGACTGTGTGGATCAGAAAAGAAGCATCTTTTGCCAAATTTTTTAAAATCCCTTTTTGTCAATAATATAATACTTTTGATATTGATCAAGAGATGTATGGATATTATAGGGAGAATTTGAATCACTTCTGGAAGTTAAAGGGTTAAAATACATTGAAGGACATGGTTTTCAAGAAAGGAAAACATGTTTCAATGTTGATATTATTAAATACGTCAAGTCTTAAGAAATGGAAAGATGTGTGGAGTTGTTTTTCCAAACCATAATAACTGCTAAATTGTTTTTTTAGGGCTCTGTAAAATTAGTAAAGAAGCTGAATATACTTAGGTTTGCCAAAACTTTTTATTAACTCAGATGCCATGGGAGCATAGTCAAATCTGGACACTCTCTATAAGTGAAAGTCTGCTTGCTTCAATTACCGTAATTTCCGGTCGATTACCCGCACGGCCGATTACCCGCACCGGCCGATTATTGCATACGGCGAAAAAAAAAGTCAACGGATTACCCGCACCGGTGGATAACCCGCACGTTGTTATTCAACTTTTTCGGTGGCGAAAACGTGACATTAAGGCGATACATTTCAGTCTTTCGATTCAGACATGTGCACAATTCTGTGTCAATATTAGCTTATACTTTATTGATTGATTATTGCTGCTGCTCTATTACCGATTTCATCGGCAAGAGTTATTACTCTAAGCTTATAATCAAACGTAAAACTGTGACGTGGGCGTTTCACAGCAGGCATTTTAACTTAATTGGTGACTCGTGGATACACTTATCGCGAATGATCGAGGTTTATAATTCTTATTCAGTCAGTTACCTTTTTATAGCATGTAGGAGCGTAATGAGCAATATCCATTGTTCATTTGTCGTTAAAATACTTTTTCAGCGTGAAATTAGTTAAGTTTCGCACCTATTATTTTCAACATTCTGGTGATGCATTTGGGATTTAAAATTACTGTCGGCAATTTCTCAAAAAAATCGATATCTCCTGTTCTACTGGGCCTAACAAGTCCCTTAAAACGGGAAAATTCTCTTTAGCTCAAGCTAGTGAAAACTGGAAATTTGTTACTGATGCGCCGGATATCCTTGGATTATTTTTGTCACCATCAAGGTTTTGTTTTCACGCGTGCCGATAAAAATTTGTTTGTCACGCAACTAATTATGCGTGAAATAAACTCGAGTTGGCATCATGTTTTCGTGCCGCTTTGTGGCACTTTTGATACAATAAAATTCATTTGAGAGGTGGAAACGCAGGTAGGTGAGAAATTTTTTCAATTCAACTTCCAGAAGAATTTAAAATTGTCACATAACCCGCACCTCCCTATTACCCGCAGTGGCGCGGATTTAATGCAAAATCAACAGATTACCCGCGGGTAATCGACCGGAAATTACGGTATACTCATAATCTTGAGTCTTGAAAATAAACTTTAATTTTTTTTAAGAAAAATACTGGACCATGGTTCAAAATATTGTTCACAAAAATGTGCACAAACCCTCTGGTGACTTCAGTCTGTTAGTTAACCCTTTAACTCCCAAGATCTGATTGTTAATTCTCCCTTTTAGCTGCTACATATTTCCTTGTAAACTAATTACAAGAATTTGGTGTAAGATCAAGATAACAACTTCTACCTGATAAGTTTGGGTATTCTCATTACCTGTTTGCTCGATGATGTATGGACACAATAGGGAGAGGTTACATTTTGATCACTTGGAGAGTTTAAGTGTTAAATAAATGAAGAATAACAAATATATGTTGTGTTGGGAAAGATTGATTTCCCATGCTAAATTGCAATTCAGCTCTGAAAAAATTTTTTAAATTATGTTTTCTTTAGGATCCAGCCAATGTGATGTTTACCAAAGGTAACAGTTTAATTTGTTTCTTTCAGGAGAATTTGTATATAGGATATCAATATAGTTTTATTTTGAATTAAAATCATGCTTGATTCAAGCAGTTGTTACTATTTTACTAAGTCCCCATTCTCACCAGCGAAACATGTTTAGTTAAACTGGGTTTAACTAAATGATAATCAGAACCAGAGAACTGAAAAATTAAAATTGAATTTTCCATAGGACCCAAGTAGTCACTGTCTTGTATTTCCAATGTGCTAAATTGAAAGAAATTTAAACCATGTCTAACAACAGACAACTTATTAAATATCTTAAAAGAATTTGAGTTGAGCTTTGAATTTCTTCTCAATGAATTTAAAATTCAACTTTGTTGTGAGATCCTTTCAGAATATAATATACAATAGCAAACTTTTTCAATTTAATGGCCAACAGGTTCTCTACCTACCATGCGACTTCTGACAGCAGCGTGGAAATACCACCCTGACAAACTTGAACAACTTAGTCGTGAGTTCTGGATGAGAGCTTGGTCCAGGGTGTGTTGATAATTACTAATAAAACCACTAATTAATTAATAACTATAAACAATTGATCTTGAACAGATGACAGTTTTATTTTGCTAAGCTAAGAATATAATGTCACAAATAAAAACAAAAAAAAAGACAAAAAAGTTGTCAATAAACTGATAGATCCACCATATTTTACTAGTTTTTGTTAACAATTTTCCTCAGCACAATAAACTGTAAGGATCGCTTCTGTATTTGTTTATTCAACCACAGTGCATGGTTGATTTTCATTTATTTACAGTCATTATTCACCACTTGGAGGGTTTATTTGGAACCAACATAGTAACCACCTCCCAGTTGGCTTGTTAGCTTGGCTTGTTAGCTGGCTTGTTAACTGGTATCACAGTGGTCATGGGTTCAAACCTGTGCGGGCCTGAATTTTTTTCAGGTCCTTTTTCAACTACTAGTTCAGTAGTGTTCATAACTGTGAGGATCACTTCTATATTGATTCGTTAATTTTTGGTTTCTTTTTTACATGCTATACATTTTGAGTGTGTCAATTGTTTAATATGTGCATTAAAAGCATTTTTTTAAATAGAGAATTAAGTGTTCCACCCCTCATAAAAAAGAGGTGTTGTACTACACCCTCCTTCCTAACAAAGGTCACCAGCTAAGCTTTCTACAACCACTGCTTTTCTCTGTAACTAAGGTGCCATTTTTAAGTTCCACCGTACATATATTTCTTTAAACTTTTATTTCTTTGTTTCAGGATGAAGACATTGTAGAACCTCAAAGTTTACAGGAGGTAAGGGTGTGCTGCATATTTTGATGGTAGCAAATCTTCACAATCACAAAAATAAGGTGGCACTCCATCACAGATGGATCTGCAAAGAGTGGACTTCATTATTTTGTTGGAAGGAAATTTTCTGTCGCATTTGAGATATTTTAGATATCTATGATATTTAAGCTTAGGGTGCAACAAATTATGTCAATTTGAACATTAGACAGCCAGGCCAGTAGGGTTGTTCACTGAGATTTTAGGAGAAGGCTACACAGTTCACATAGTGAGTTTTGGATGAATCTAACATAACCAAAAAGCTCTGATAAAGGGCTAATGCTCAGAATGTCACCACTTTAGAAACACTTTACAGTGGCCAATTATCATTATCAACTCAGTTGATAAAATCAAATTATCTTGTTAACTCTTTGACTCCCAGATCAAATTTGTAATTCTCCTTACTGTCAACCATATAATTCTTATAAAATTAGTTCAGAGAATTTAGTATTGGATCAACAAATTATCCCCAAATTGATATTTTTTATTTTATTGATATTGTAAGGAGAAATTCCATCTTGGTCACCCATGGGAGTTAAAGGGTTAAGCTATAACTGCCATAGACAAAGCACCACTCTTCCTTTAGAAACTTAACAAGAAGACTTGTTTCCAATGTGATGACTGAGGCGGTTTGGTAAACAAAAAAAACAGAAGTCAAAAGGCAATTGATTCTTGATGCATTGTTAATAGGTGTGCACAAAAGTTGGATTAAGTGCAGATGAAACTCAGGCTCTCATTAGTAAGACTAAAGACCAGGAAATCAAGGATACTTTGAAGGAGACCACACAGAAGGCTCTTGATTTAGGGGTTAGTACGTTAACAAATCGGTGGGATTATGTGGTTACAAACAAGATAATTTCAATTGATTTTATCCAATGAGTTGTAATGTAAATTAGCAGCCGTGAAGGGTTACTGAAATTGACATTTGAAGCGTTAACCCTTGGTCAGAGAGAATAGCCCCAGAAACTCTTCACAGTGGCTAATTTACATTATAAACTTAGTTCACAAAATTGAATTATCTTGTTTTGCCATCCACCGACGTAGTTTTTTTTCTTAGAAACTTAGCCCCGTTATTTACTTGTAGAGTTGTTAATGGACTGAGTCCTTGGCACAGGCTTGAGTGTGAGATTGATATAGGATAGGTTAGCTGTGTTATCTTAAATTTGTTCCGAGCAATTCTACTAAAATGGAGACAAATCTATGGGACTGTCGATTTTGATTTCAGGCCTTTGGAGCTCCGCTAATTGTCGCCCATGTCAATGATGAGCCTCACACGTTTTTTGGCTCTGACAGATTTCTCCTGATTGCCCACTTGCTAGGTAAGTTCACAGTATAACTATTGTAACCTGAATCTTTAACTGGCTGGGCCGTCTTTTTTTGTATTTAAAGCTTTTTCATTTTTGTCATTTTTTCCTCTAGGAGTGGAATGGGAAGGTCCATTGAGGTCTCAAAACTCGAAACTTTAACATTAGTCTCAAACTGTAACTGAACCAACCGGGAATGTTTTACAACCTGGACTCACTGTTCGATCTTTAATACCAAAACGATCTAAGAAGTCCCGATGAAGTAAAACCGTTTTCAAGCTTCCAGGAAAATGAAAACAACCTTAAACTCTCTATAATGATAATGCAATGTACACACACATGGTAGACTTTCTGAAGCTTCTGAACCGCCAATAGATCCAACAGCCAAATATGATTGAACAAACCTTTGAGATATTCTGTATGTTACTTATTTCTCACTTAAACTCTTTCCTTACTGATATCTCGATGAAAAGTCTCCTTACTTTTGCAATACATTTCTTTCAAAGTTTGTTTTAAGAATTTGGTGTTGGATCAAATGATAATACCCTCGTTCTTATTTTTCTTTATTCTCATCACTTGTCTACTTGCTATTGTATTAATATTGTAAGGAGGAATTCTCGTTTGGTCACTTATTGGAGTAAAAAAGTTAAACAAGCATTACGGTTGTTGTAGAAGCCGTAAGTTCCAAATAAAACACTTTGAATTAAAAATAAACTGGTGAGAAAGATGTGTTTAATCACAATGTAGTGGACTGTTATATATTTTACATTAAGAACACACTTTTTTCTTGTTTTCTTATGTATTTCACGCAGTACGTATCTATGCAGCTTCTTTTTTTTTTTTAATTGTTCTTCTTCTTCTTTTTTTTTTTTGACAAACGCCCTTTGAAACAGGACCAAGGTAGACGTATAAAATCGGAGGCCAGCCGGGAAACATTTCTTCAAATTCATCATATTGGTTCTCGTGTTGAATCCTTTTTATATATATTTCTATTTCAGTTCAAAATGACTAAAATGAAACACGCATTATTCCACACAGGGAATCATGCGTGTTTTATTTTAGTCATTTTGAACTGTATTTCGCTTTACACTCGTGTGTATCGAGCACTTTCCAACAGCATTTGCTACAATTTCCCATAATTATATTTCTATTTCAAAGTTCAGCGGGCGAGTTCCTCGCAGCTTCGAATTTCATGATCGGGTAAATGCCCGACGTACAAAGTATCTCGGAGATCGTATTTCAACTGGGCACGACTGTAGTGATTCAAATGAAGTCTTATTTACAGTTTGTGTGATTTCTCAGAAAGGGGCATATCTCTAAGGATCACAGAGAAGAGGTCCCATAAATCAAGGGGCTTAGGAAGAGGACGGCGCACGCAGAGGTTAGTAATGATGATAGGAGGGTTTTATAACCAGTCGCGGTGATTTGTACCCAGTAGGGATAGGTGATATACTGTTTGGTTGTGAACGAGTGTTGATTTGAGATGAAGAGCTCTGCTTCTTCCAATCTTCAGATGTCTCGGGAATGTCGGTTTTTCTTCGAGTTTCCTCGTCAATCGGTGGGGATCTGCTTTCCATGTCCTCGATACATATGGACTTAGTGCGTCTTCTTTCCGGGCCGACAGTATTGAGGGAATCCCCCTTAAAATTATTCGTGGATCGAACAAAACTCCCATTTTTTCGCTCAGTCGCGGGCCTCTCTTCAGGAATTTCAGTTTTTCTTCGTTCTTTAGTCACTTCTTTCTTCATCTTTTTCTTACTTTTAGTTTCGTCTTGTATTGCAGGCGTTCTTTGCGACGTCGTTGTTACAGCGGTGATATCTGAACTAAAATCTTGTGATTTACTCTGTGACTCTTCATCTGATGAAGGCTCGGGATTTTCAGATTTTCTTTTCTTTCTCTCCTTTTCTTTTCTTTTCTTCTTTTTCTTTGTCTTGGTCTCGTTATTTTGTGATGCAACACACCTGTCACTCTGTTCTTCAGATGTACCTATCGCTACAGTCAATCCATCCTTTAAGTCCAGAATAGAATTTGCCTTTTGTTCCTTGGACGAATCATCCGAATCAACCACTTTTGTCTTCGTTTCCTTCTCAGCTTTCTCTTTCTTCTTCTTCTTTTTCTTCTTCTTTTCCGTAGCTGCAGTATTCTTATCCTCAGTGACTTGTTCAGTAACTGGTTCATCCATCGTGGCTCTAGCCACTTCCGGACGGCTTTCCCCAAATCTAGCGGGCTCTGCTGTAGATTTTCTCCGCTCGTTCAAAGGCGTAGTTGGCTTTACACGGATTTTTGTCACGCTTTCTTCAGAGTCCTCTTTCACCCCTGTAATCGCGGCAACGGAAACAGAGTTTTTCTTCTTCGCCGTGGGAGTAGCTGATAGTCCCCTCCCCTTCATTTTTTCCTTCCCAGAACTCTCCGCATCACTGATTCCAATTTCTTCCGCACGAGGCGAATGTCTAGAACCTCCTAAAGTTGACGCCATAGTGGCCTTTTTCCCTTTAGAGTAAGTGTCTTTCGGGGTAACAAGTCTTCTTTCATTATTTAAAAAAGCTGGGGGAGGCTTTCCACTATTCTCGTTCAAGTTCTGCTCCATCTTAGACTTGTTTGGACTCTTGACTTCCCGCGCGGAACCTTTTCGAATCCCTTCGTCTTCGCCAACGGGAATTATGGAAGACCTCTTGGAATTTTTCACACCGTTTGAAGGCGACAAAAAGTTTTTCACCTTCTTCTGCTTCTCTTGTTTTTTGTCCTTGGCAGGCAGGAAAACCGTGTCTTCACTGGCGTCCAAGCTTAAATCGGAGGAAGCAATGGAGCTCTCCCTTTGTTCATTAACATTAATTGCATTCACGGATAGCTTTGCATTTCTTTCAGCAGGTGTAGGTGATTTTGAATTTCCTCCCGGCTTCCTATGAAAAACTGGAGAACTATTTTCAGTTGCTTCTTCGTTCTCGATAAAAGCTGGGTTTGTAATACCTGGCGAATAAGGCGGGCTAGAATGGGAAGGACGAATTACTCGTTCATCATCGCTATTCAAAATGTCGCTCAAGGTGTCATCGTCTAAATTCGACATGCTTCCGCTATCAGTAATCCGCTTGTCCTCAATATCAGAGTCGTCATCGTCTAGAATGAGTCTTGGAGGAGTCCGCTGATTATGTAGCTCAGTAGGTTCGTAGGCCGGCACAAGGGACCTCACGGGGTAGCCAGGGGGCCACTGCTTTTTACCCTCGACGTTGTTTCGAGGCAAGTTCAGCGAAGATGAAGCGCTCCCATTGGCTGAATGAATGAAAATATCGAAAGGCTTTAGGTGACGTAGATTGCATGGCAATATATAGCTGTTTTTAATTGGGTTTCGAAAGTAATCTTAGATTATTAGGGTAATTTGATATTATCAACTGAGCTAATAACGTCAATTGACCACCGTTAAGAGTTTCAAAGCTGACGTTGGCGAACGAATAGCTAACGCACGAAATGTCAGCTTTGAAACTCTTTAGGGTGGCCCATTTTCGCTATCAACTCAGTTGATAATGACCAAATTACCCTGCCATCCTCTCCCGTCACGCAGCACCACAGTTTCTTTAGAAACGTACCCCCTTTCATCTGAGATTACATTGGTTTTGCTTCACAACGCTCTGTGATAAACCTTGAACCTACGCACGAGCGGAATCATCCAATAAAGAAACAGGTTGGTGCGCAAATCTCGTAATCTTGTCGGGGAAAAATGCATTAACCGTGAACATCGTAAGACGGGTTTTAGCAGGTGTGGCTTAGTGAAAAGATAGCAACACGTTACCGGTCTCAGTTTTAAACCAGGAAAGAGCGCAGTGTCGTGCGATAACTGTGCCTGCTTCGTGTCCAATAAATACTACAGAAAGTTCACTAGGTATGTACGTCGCAAAAAGACTTGAATCCGAACCTCAGTCTTACTTACATTCAAACTCTTTTAGACTGTATAGATTTGTATTTTCACGTACGTCCACAATGCCAGGAACGACTTATGTTAAGAAAACTTGCCAGTGTGAACAGAGTTTTTTATTTTTACATACCTGAGACACGTTCATTTTCTTCCATGGCTTCCTTAATTTTCATTTGCTTCAGTTGCTGGTCTGTTTTGTGATCCAAACGGTTGCTGTTGATCGGTGTAAATTTCTTTTTAGACAAAAGCCAGGATTGTTTGATAAGCTGCCATAAAACACACAAAGTAACGAGTCCCAAGATGGAAGCGCCTGCATAGATCATCGGCTTCAAGTCCATATCAATGGGCGGGATCCCCTCTGTCGGAGGGAGGGGTGGAGGTGAAGGCGTGGGCGCTTCGTGCAGATCATATGAGTCACCATACATGGCGGACAACATAAAGGATGAATAAATGGTAGTTCCATCCCATAACGGAAAAACGAGAGAACTGTTAACTTGTAACTGTCTTAGTAAGTCAAGGGATAGTTCAAGCGCAGTATCGTTTCTTCCGTAGATTGTGATATTGGCAGCTAAACTGTCGCAGTCCTCCTCGATCATATAGTAGCGGTCTGTGTTGTGATAGTTAAATTGCTTCTCATTTTTCTTCTTGTTACTTCCTTTCATCCGACCTCCCACTGCCAGGCGCTTCGCACGATGATGTGCCCTGATACTTGCCACGTCCACCCCGCAGTATGGCCGCTGACCAGTGGCACAGCTTGCGTTGGTCACTGTGATCTGGCTCGGTGGAATGCTTGTGAGGCTTGTAATTCCTTTTTCCAATGAGTTTGTCAAGTTTTCTTGAAAATTTTTAATCTGATTACAGTCTAGCACAAATACCAGCAGCAACGTGAAGTTCCAAGTTGGTTGTGCTATAACTGGTGGGGCTGCAAAACGACAAAAAAACGAGAATGACTTGGCTCCAGGCTCGAAGCAAAGCGGTCGATAGACGAAATGGACACTATCTTGATTGCTAAAAGGAATGTATTCATTATCTGCTGTTTGAAGTTTACTGACCGTGTAAAAACGGAAAAAAGAAACGAAAAACAACTTCATTCTTGTATTTAGCGGGAAAGAGTCTCAAAGAATCGATTCTGCTGAGCTTTAAAAAAACATTCCAGTCACTATTTTGCATTAAATTTAGGAAAAACTCAAGGTTGGTGGCTAGTTTTTACCGCTCTCTCGAATCCAGTCTTTGTACCTTTCCGAGAAGAGACTTTCATGAGAGGAGCGTGGCTCACTTTCCGCGGGACAGCAGCTCGCTAATTAACTTACAAGATCTGTTGTTTACAGCTTTTGTCATGTTCTGTAAATTGCCTAAGAAGAGACTTTCAGTTGAGGAGCGTGGCTCACCCTCTGCGAGACAGCAGCTCGCTAATTAACTTACAAGATCTGTTGTTTACAGCTTTTAGCATGTTCTGTGAATTGCCTGAGAAGAGACTTTCAGTTGAGAGGCGTGGCTCATTTTTCGCGGGACCGTAGCTCGCTAATTAACTTACAAGATCTGTTGTTTACAAGTTTTTTCATGTTCTGTAAATTGTCTGAGGAGACACTTTCAGTTGAGAAGCGGGGCTCACTTTCCGCGAGACAGTAGCTCTCTAATTAACTCACAAGATCTGTTGTTTACAACTATTGTGATGTCCTGTGAATTTTCAGACTGAAAGTCTTTTTAGATTTGGTGATGAAACTACAAGTTCCGTCCCTTTGGATGTTGGCCCCACTGAATGGAAACATTTGTATTTTATTCGAACTCAGATTTTACTGCTGCTCAAACATTCTCTTTGGATTTTTTTAATGTTTGTTCTGTGTTCTTTTTTTTTTTTTTCACAAATACTTCAAGAACGCCGGGAGAAAAGCCAAATACCGTCCTGTACTCGATTTCGTCCTAAGTCAGCCAAATTTAGCCAAACAGGTTTCTTCATTTTTAAAACAACGCCTACTCTGTAAGAAATTTCTCTTTGTAAAACAAAGCAAAAAAAAAAAGAAAAAACAATACTTTTTCCTTACCTGTTACGGGTGAAATTGAAATGTTGTGACACTTGTCACAGCAGTAGGTTGTATTTAGGGGACATAAACAGCAGGTCCACTGAGATGCGCTCTCATTAGATGCACCTGTCAGGTTCACAAAAGTCTGCTGGTCAAGAGTACTGCAGGCTGAACTGCTGTTGGTTCGACATTGGCAGGCGTTATTCTCCACAAGGCATGGGTTGGCTGAGATCGAACCGTTACAGGAACCCTATGGAAATATTGATTAGCTGTTAAATGCCGTAAAACTTAATTGTCACCATTTTTCAAGTTTTTCACAGTTCTTTTCCTCGAGTTTCCTCGAGACGGTGAAAACAAACCTTTTAGTAGCTATAGTTTTTGTTTGTTTGTTTGTCCCTTCATGCTAGGGAAACCAGGATAAGCTCCGGCTGAGTGTGCTACATGGCTTAGTACAGACGTAATGGAATAAAAGCTGCCCCTTGGGGGAACGAATTAATAATGAAGTGAAGCTGCCCCTTAGGGGAACGAATTAAGTCGTTTCTTCGATCTGGGGTTTGAACCAATACAACTTTATTATAGCGAACCAGCATTAATGCATCTTCTTCTTCTGTTATTCTTTTAACAACAATATTTATTTTTAAGAGCTATCACAGAGAAATTGAAATTTCCCCTGAATATGTTTTTCTCAATTTCTCTGAAACACCGTTTTTCCGTGTTTCCAAAAAGATTCCCCGAGCAAAATAAAATTAAACGCATGTACAAGTTATGAAAATTTAGCCTTGGGTTATAATGCCCTTAACATAACTGTTATTCCAATTAATTATATATGACTTGTAGGACAAGGCTAATTCAGCTGCGACTTCCATTCTAAAGCGCACCACGATAAAATATTAAATATCTGCTTTTCAACAGAAAAATGGGCGTCGTTTTATTAGGTGCGCGTAAGTTCGAGTGCTAAAAAAAAATAATAAGAGTCAAAACACCGCAAAGGATGTTTGCTTTCTATCGATTTCTAAATTAAGAGATAATTTTTAAATCAGATGCAGCGCAAGCAAACTTTGAAACTGCCAAATGCACTTTTTCAATCAAGTTTAGAAGGATTATTCGTATTACACCTTTTATGAATAATAACATTTATAATAACCTTGCCAATTTTTTTTGTTAACAAAAAGGTTTTTGGTCGACTCATTCAAGTAGAAAAATCGTCTGCATTAGTATTAATACTAATACGATACGATACAAGAGCATCGGATAACTTTAACCTTCTAAGTCCTTTTCGCGCCGGTAATCTCCTTAATGAAGAAAGTGATCGACCTAACCGCAAATAGCTGCTCGGTAATATAAACCCGAAATATAAAAACACCGAACGATTTTCTCAACTGATAATGTCAGCTGCCTTATCAATACGTGTATTTTGTTCGCTGAAATTAATTTTACTCGGCATTCGCGTTAACTTTTCTTTTCTTATGAATTGCGACAAATTTTTTAGTGCACTAATTATAATTGTACATGTCCTATAATCTCGTTCAATTTCCCAGCTTAAGCTTAGCTTAGATAATCCATTTTTACGAGTCCGCAGATCTTAGATGCATTTTGAGTATATCTAGTTACTTGACAACGTTTTGATTACAATTCAGTCGAAACAATCATGATAATGTACTGTGTACCCAAACGTGAAACCTCATCACAATTATTCGATACAAATCGACTCATGAAAGTCAAATTTTTCACGTCATATTTTCCGTTCGTTTGACTCACCATGTATCCCTGTAAATATCTAACTATTTCAAACCGAGAAAAGAGGGACTAAAATTCATTTTCCACGTTCAAATTTGAGTGCACTCGACCCTTAAATGGCAAATTCGTTCGCGCGTAATTAGGTTACATCTGTCTCACCAACACAACAAAAGAGAAGGAGAATTACTTCCACAGCCGCCGTGAACCGTCTGTTTCAAGCAAGAAATAATGTGCTTTTACGTAATTTTCTGTTCACGAATAAAGCTTTTCTGACAAGTTGTTTGTGCGGGCAATAAGACCTTGCGCTTGAAATGACGCTTTTAATTAGTTGTAAAATTTTACGTCGGCTAACGTTCGCAAAAGTAATGATCGGGACATTAAAAAGCACATCAGAAAACTGAACACACCGAGCATTTTTCGCTACGTGAAGTAAATACGCAAATTCAAGGGAACTCGGCTTTAACGTGGCAAAGCGTTAGATCACATTTGCTAAGGCAAAGCAAATTGTACCCCAAGGTGCTGGAATAAGTCCATGAACATGTTTGTTTGTGAACCGATATGGTTCATGACGCAAAATTATATATGTCAAATTTAAGTCTTTGAATCTTTAAGGGTTCGTTCTGTATTTAAATGGCGTGCGAATAAAATTCTGGACCAGATGAGAGCAAAACATTACATTTTCCATAGTTTTATTCCCCCTTGTTCCCTGAATGTTTGTTTTTTTTCGAGAGCTGAATTTCTTTCTTAATTCGTCAGCTTCACAGCCTGATTTACGGATTAAAAAATAATTTTGCTTAAAAATCACAATCGAAAGATAACTATCTATGTGCAGTTCTGAGAAAAGTTTTATGAATACCTGAGGGCAGGAATGAAATATTTCTGAATCCAGCGTCGAACAACCCAAAAACACCATGACCACTACAGCTAAATAAATAAAGAAAAAAATGAATTGACGGGTTAGTTGAAAAGACTAAAACTCAGTCGTTATTTGGTTACTTAAATTCTATGAACTCAATTTTATGTGTGGAAAAAATAATAATGAAGGAAAAAAGTAGGTTTAAGTTCAGCTTTTACCATTTCGAAGGAGAAAGGGATTATAGCAAGACATTATTCTGCGGGCAGCTGCTAAATGCCTAGTGCTTCGTTCTTCAAATCAGTTGGACGCCATCGGAAAATGCTGTCTCTCTCAATTTCCTTTTTTGCCAGACAGTGTTATCGCAGACTTGAGACCTCAACCAAGCGTACAATAAATGAAGTAATCTGGATTCCTTGAAAACGAAATTAAAATCCCCAAATCTTTGTCAGTTCATTGGTTCGTCGTGAAAGGGACAGCTTTTCATTGGCTACTGACTTTTGTTTTGACTGACGAGGGTGCATCTGAGAGATGCTGTCTACTTCGAAACTTTCTCGTGTCAGTTAATCCCAGCTGAGAAAACAGTTTAGTTCACTCTCTCTTCTCTCTTATTGCTTGACTACCGACGTGGAACTGCGAAGTGAATGTAATCTGAAAATCTCTGACGGTAATTTCATGCTTTCTTTCGATCCCTCACCTTGTCGATAATATTGTCACAGGGCTTTTGTGTAATGCCACTTGTCATTCAGCGCTGTCATTGTTGAGTCTCCACGCTTTAGACAAATGGGTTCGTTATCCAGTTTTATTCATAAGTAAACAGTCAAAATAATGTCTCACCTATTGAATTTTAAAGACGTGACTTGAATTGAAAACAAAATGTTTCGTGATCTTCTCTCATCGAAAAGGCCGCCATCATTGCTAGTTTTTTTTAAATTCTTTTTTTTTCAGTGCAGTAACAAGTGATTCCCTTTCTCAACCACTTTGTATTAGTGTTTTTAAACGAACAAATGCAAAATGATAATTTAAGGGCTACATCCATTGTACATCAGGGGTTTTAGTGTTAATTCTACGTACTGTATCGGAGTAAAACAACGATACACTTCCAATTCCTTAAAGGTGTATAAACTGACGCATTTACACTGACATTTTTTTATCATAATTTGTCGTTGAGTCGTCTGGCATCTAGCTTTCATTTGGACATCTCTCGGGGTTAAAAACGGACGGACAAAATTCTTCGCGGCTGGATCGAATTAGGAACCTTTTCCACGGAAATTCCAAATGTAATTTACGTGTCAGCTCAGAATCTTTATCGTCTCTTGTTATGACACCTTCCAAATTTTGATAAAAAAAAACTTTCCGCGTTCGGAGATTGAAATGTCGCAGTTTGCCTAACGTTCGTTCATAGATGTTATTTTTTTTAATGTTTCGTACGTTATTCGTCCCCGAATAAGCTCAATGTTTGTCGATTTTCTCCACACCTTTCGTCATATTTCTTCTCATTATAGGTTAACATAAGAGGAGTCTGTTTTTAGGCACGACTTTCAATCCGTGTTACACAAGACAACTTTTGACGCAAATCTTTTGCAACTAGTACTGGCGACAACATTATATTACAGGAAAAAAACTTAAATTATTCTGGCTACATCCAACTCTTTGAATCGCCTCCTAAAACTTGTGCTATATAACCTCTGATAAAATGTTAAGTCAAGATGCTCGTTATCTGTTAAACGTCACCGCATGCAAGAATTGACTGCTGTAATATCACCGAGCGGCCACGCACGTCTTAAAACTAGTAAAATAAACAAACTGACTCGCTCATGAATCACCATTTTTTTTCCTTTTTCTTGACGTAAGCTCGTTGAATAGTACAGTGAGTTCTTCGAGAATTTGGATAAGAATAATTTTGGGAAACTTTCGTTGACAAAGCCATCTGGCGGTTGTAAGGCAATGGGATAAAAATATGTCTTCAGTAAGTAATGTAGCTTTAAGGCTCAAATACGCCATTCTTATAAATTCGATATACCGACAGGTGCAAGAGCAGTTCTAGGTACATATGTTAAGAGGTGAAAATTGAGTTATTCTAAGAATAGAACTGTTCTATCGGAGCAATTTTTGATTGAGCATCCAGAGTAATCCGGCATCGCATTGGTTTTGCATTTCTTCGCACCGTGATTGGTCCAGAAAACTCGCACCAATCTCTAAACCGATCTGATGCAAAAAGAATACGATTCAAGACTTGGTCGCCCGCGTTTTCCCGCGCTTCACGCTGTTTGGTTGTTTTTACTCTGAATTTTTATTGGCCCCTTAAAGGTATTTTCCTTTCCCCAGATTGGCGGTTGAGATTACGCTACCACACTCTGCCAAACATGTTAAGAATCTCCCGGAATTTTCCTAAGAACGTAGCCGAATCCAATTCTGATTGAATAAAGGGGGTAAGTTTCTAAAGAAACTGTGGTGTTGCGTGGTTGGGAGAGTATAACAGGGTAATTTTAAATCGTGATGATGGCGGCTTACTACCTGACGCCTATTTACACCTCGTCAGGAAAAAGGGCAGCTATAATTAGTATGCATATAAAAGGACCTCCTGTTGCAGCGATTCGATCACCCTTGATGGAAGCACTAGACGGGATTGTCGAAACGTTGGGTCTATGAAATTTAATTTTTCTCGATAAAGTTCCATTCTTCCAAATTCTACCAAATCATGTGCTCTGCAAAGTTTTCCTTGATAAGTGTTCACGAGAGATTACAATCTCTTGGTGTTCATGTTCAAAATCTGGAACGCCAGTTATTTGTCGAGATAAAAACCTCGCAATACACCGCAAGGAATACTTGCGGACGGGAGAGCTTGTTTCTGCAAAAGGCATTTTTTTTAGTAATCGGTGAGCGAAGTCGATAAATTACGACCTGATAGAACTTGAGATATACGAAAGCAATTGGAAAGCATGTGAAATTTGTCAGCCCTTTCAAAGAATGTTCTCACTTGCTATTCACTTGAAACCTTCGACAAACGCATGCGCTTTAAAGCTTTGACAGCGATTCGCGACTTCACACGAAACAGCCCCGTGTTTTAATTAGAGTCTGTAGCTTGGCGCCTCAGTGAAAAATGTGTTACCAGAAGAAAAGGCCGGAACCACTTATGGCTGATAAAAATAGAAACCTGGATGGCTTCTGAAACTTGATGAAGACGCGTAAAATGAATCTGGTGTCAAATAGGGCTTCAACATGACGTTGAAAACTTTCTTTTGTAACTCCTTTGTCTCGTTAACAACACGGATTTAAGCGTCGATCAATTTGAAGCTTCCACAGTCCTTCCTCCTGGCAACCCCACAGGCATCTGTACCACCAGGGGTGGGGAATTTGAGCCTCATTTGGGTGAGGTGGCAAATTTGAACAAGCCGAATATTCTGGTGTTAATTTTAATACTGGTGGAGTTTCAAGGTAAAGAATCCGCTTTCGGGAGCAAATGGCTTAGAAGAAATTTTCAAATCGTTGAATGATGCTTACAAACGAAAAAACCAAGCTGCGGCACTACAAAATAGTACGTGACTTTCCTAAACTCTACTACGTTCGTTGATCACACGAAGAATCGTGCGACAAAAAACTGTGCTTGAGCAGGACATTTAAATGCAGCTTTGAACAAACCAATCTTCAAAGGTTTAAATGTCCGCGGGGCTGTCCATGGGGGAAAATTGAAGCTTTGAACTGATCGACGCAGAAGCAAGCAGAGTTTCTCTGCACAGACAGACCAATCAAGATCAAGAAAGCGTATCAAAACCAACATCAGACAGATAAAAAACATTTAATATCTTTGACATAACATAGCCATTTTTTTTAAAATCTAATCTATGTAATTTTTTAGAGAGGTTTTTGTTTCTCTTGGCATTCTAGGTGCGTATTTGTAAGAAAAGAAAGTAGTTTTAATGTCAACATCTCTTAAAAATATTTCTTAAATTGCAATATAAGTTTTCGATTTTTTTAATCTGTTTGTAGTGAGTGTTACATTTAATTCAACAATTAATTGTTTGTAACACCATTATTAATTAATTTTTTCCTCGTACAAATAGAGCGCCTTTCAATTGAGTGACGTGTTTTTTACTTAGGTGCAAAAATACAAGGAGCCAATCAGAACTCAAATTAAGAATAGCCAAACGGCTTGAAGCGCGGGAAAACGCGTGTAACCAAGTCGTGATTGGTTTCGGGTTTGCATCCGACTGATTGGCGGAGAAAATGGCATGGGTCTTCTTGACCAATCACAGTACAACAAAGAGTAAAACGAATGAAATTCCGGATTTCATTTATTAAGTTCACTTATTAAGTTGAACGCTAAAATTTGTGATTTTCTTTGAAACTCAGGTAAATTAGAAAATAAAAGTCAAAATTTGACAATTTTAAATCCTATCTTAAAACTAGACGCCTACAGGCGTTTACTCGGGCTACTTATGTGTGACACAGGAAGAGTATCTTTGCATAAGGACATTAGAATTGCAAACAATCACTTACAGACCTAAAAGTCCAAGAGGCTCCATTTGGCAAGAGCTTTGAGCGTCGCGTATATCTCCTAAAATTCAAACTTTATAAATTTCATAAAAAACATTGATAACGAGTTCAACATTAACTATACGTATTATTACAGCATAAGTATTATTGAGCTCAAATACTTGATGGTACAGTTTACTCATATTTGTGCAGGGTTTTTCTATGTAATTAAATTTCAATAAGCATGTTGATCCAATCATTAATTATACATATCACTGATAGCAGCAAAAACATTAACGGAGCTTAAAAGCTTGAAGGTACAGGTTAATCATATTTGTGCGGGATTATTTTTGTGTATATAAATTTCAAATAACATGTTCATGACGTTTTTTTTTTATTTTTTTTTATATTTTTTATCAGCATACTTTTCCAGTTTATCTGCATACTTTTCCAGTACGTTTCTTAAATATTTCTTACCCTACATATCCCGGAAAAATATCTTTAATCAATTCCTCCAGCTCATTAACCACTTTTTTCATTTTTGGTCGGTCGACTGCCTCTTCTGCGATGCACTTTTTTTTAAATCAGTTTTCACAGGGAAGTGTTGGGTACTGTTTCCACCTGACGTCCTTGTTCTTCCCGATTAGGCCACTCTTTGATGCACATCATTAACGGCAGCAGCTACACTTCAGCCCAGAATAACAAAAGCACCCAAAAAGTGCATATGATTACTGGTGGTTATAGATAGGACATTAATAGCGGAGCTCGCAGAGCGTAGCCCCATAATTATGCAAAATAGTAGTAACCCATCAAGCCGAAAAAATTTGGATGTACGACCGTACGACCGTACGACCGTAAGACCGCGGCCGTACGACCGCACAAGGTGCTACTTTTAACATGCGCGG